GTCACTGCAAAGACTCTCACGACCCCAACGAGACACCAAGATTATGGTCGCTGGACACCCTCCCCATAGCCCGCCGTAGATTCGACTTGACTCCGTAGACTATCCAGCCTTGAACCCCAGCTCTGATATCCCGCCTTGGACATGTCGACCATACTGCATATGCCCGCCTTTAATTCCGCTCCCCATGGCCCTGCGTTTACTTCCGTCAATGGTCGATTGTCTCTGAGCCCGCCCGACGAGAAGAAGCCAGCCGTTGCCGCCAAACCTTCTGCCTGGAGTCCCGTCTCCCCAGATCTTGAGCCCAAACATCACTCCCGCTCCCCAGAGAGCGACACGAGTTCGTCCACTGTTGGCAGTGGAGATCGATCTCCTGATAGCTCAGACAAGACAAGGTCTTCTCCTGAACACCCAAATAAGAGAAGACGCTCCGGCTCCGAAGAAGACGCCTACGGCCAACACAGCCCTGATCAGAGGACCGCTGGCCCCAGGCAACTTCCACTTCCATACCAGCCCTTGAACCGCAACACAACCATGAGCATGGAAGCCCCTCCACTACCGACTCTGCCTCCACTAGGTCGTCCAGACGCTGAACGACGCTGGCAAACCGAGCCCCGTGAATTGCCTCACGCAGCCCATCAGCATTTTCAACGCCATGAATCGCGTCCTATCGAGCACACCCGCACCAATGACATGTCTCCTGATTCGCAGTCTCTTAGCCGTGACATGATCGAAGAGACTGAGTTCACGCGGGCTGGTGTACAGGTCGAGCTCAAGAAGCGAAAACGGGTATGTACCCTGAGCCTAACCCCTGACCAATACTAACCTCCACAGCAATTTGCCAACCGCACCAAGACTGGCTGTGGAACATGCCGTAGGAGGAAGAAGAAGTGCGACGAGGCCAAACCAGAATGTACGTTTGAAAATGGCTTCCTGTTCTGACCAAGTCTGACCTCTATCAGGCAACAACTGCACACGCGGTGGCTTTGTCTGTGAAGGCTATGCCAACAAGGTACCTTGGCCGAAGAATGGACCCGCCAAACCACCTGCACTGATAGCCAAGGACAAGCTCGCTGCCTACCCTACGTGCCCAACTTGTCAAGAAACGCACACACCTCACTGCAGACCACCTCATAGCACTGAAGTGTCATACACACACTCTGAGATGCATTCAACCAATGGTATCGATCGCAAGTCATGGAAACCTTGGAGTGACTCTGCGCCTGCACCGCCACCAGTTCGAGCTGCCTACCAGCCAGAACCGCCACCACCACCACCATCAGTACAGTACATGCAACCTGCAGTCAACCACTATGAAAGGCCTTCAAGCCTGGACCATAGACCTGTGCATCAACAGCAACAGCAGCCTCACCACAGTTCTCGTGGTTATCACCATGCTCCGCCAAGCACGACCCACCTCGCTATCAACACTGCTGTCCCTACCACTATGTGAGTATTTTCTTCTGATTGGGAACCGACCGAATTGTCAACAACTTTTCGACATCAGATCATGTCTATTTCATGTGTTTGATCTTTGACTTGAATTTGGACACACTCGGACTTCATCAGCTAACACATTTCTAGGGCCGCCAAGCCTATCCAGCAGCTGCATGTGGCACCGCAGCATCAGCCTCCTCCACCACCACCAACATCCTTGCCACCTACGCGTTCACCGACACGCTACTCCTCGACGTCTACATCGACCATGTACAGGTCTGAAAAAGACAAGATGCTTGCTGGAGAGCCATTCAACCCCTTTGACAAGGCCTTGATGCAAGAGCGTCATTTGAGCGCGCAAGCACAATCTTATTTCAACGGCAAAGTCAACCCCTCCAACGTTCTATCGAGTCACACGGTCGACCACTTTTTCAAACAAATCCTGAACGCGGGTAAGAGAGGCGAGGAAGGGAGACGAATCGAAACTCATATGGCTGAGACCTGTCATGTTGCTGCGCCCTTTGCTTGCGACTACGGCTACCATCTGAGTTTGGGTGAGAATGTCGTCATCGGCGCTGATTGTCGTTTTCATGACTCGGCGAGGATTGCCATCGGAAGGAACTGCAAGATTGGGGTTCGAGTCACTATACAGACTCTGAAGACGCCGACCGATACAAAATCCCCAAAGGGCAGCAACGGCGGCACAGAGGTTGCGCAGGAGGTCCTTATCGGGGAGAACGTGTACATTGGTGATCACTGCATGATCGCGGCTGGAGTCCAGATCGGTCCTAACACCATAGTGCGTCCGGGTTCTGTGGTTTTAAGCGTAAGTTCATCACCACATTTTTTCAAGCACTTTTATACTGACCTCGCGTAGTCTTTTCCCGCCAATTGCATCGTGCAAGGGAACCCCGCCACCAATATACTCTAAGTTGTTCAACGTGACAACGTCTTGCGCTTCTACTGTCTTTTAGACGTTTTGTTGCGCTGAGGAGATGCCGGGGTCGAGTTAACCTATTTGATATGGGTCATGTATGTCATATTAAGCGCCACTGTGTGGTGCAGGAGTTTCGGTGTTTCTACAACTGGAGGATACCCATTGCTAAAATTTCTTGCTATTTATGGAAGGGAGAGAGGAACCAGTATATAGTGGTACGTTGAGCACGGGTGGTATCTGACTTGTATAGTCTCCTTGTATCTTGGTACCTTGTGCCTGCTGGACATGGCTCTAAAAGCTCAAAAACATAACATCTCCTACACGCGGTCGCTTCAATCAGTAACTGCGCTTCGTTGAACAGACATGCTGAATTTGCCTGCTCGCGGGTAGACATGCATGTTCCATGACTGCGATTACCTACCCCGCCATGACCTACTAGTGTGCATTGAGCCTAGCTCAGATTCTAGCCGTGAACAGAACTACACGTGCGCAGCATGGCCCGTGCACTGAATCTGAGCTTCAGGCCGGGAATCTCAAAATATCCGCGGCGAACAAGCCAGCGCCGCATCTCCAACGCAACAACACCACGACTACAATGCCGCCCAAAGCGCCCCTCAATTGGGGCTTACTACCGCCGTCCTTCCTACTCCCCACATCAGCGCGATGCCTCCTCCAGCAAAATGCGCAACAAATCTCCTCAAGACCCGCCATCGCATACACATCGATCCGAACCATAAAATCTACCTTCGGTCCCAAACCCGACCGTTTCGCACATCACCCCGCGCGAGAAGCCCTCACCAGCACATCAACGGCAGCGCTCGAGCGAAAAGCCCACAGCACGCCCCTGCGAACTGGTCTTCTCGCTTTGAAGAAGGGCATGACATCCATCTACGAGCCCGAAACAGGGAAACGCACAGCATGCACTGTTCTGCAACTCGACCGCAATGAAGTCGTGGCGCATAAGCGGAGAGATATAAACGGGTACTGGGCTGTTCAAATCGGGGCTGGGCAGAAGGAAGCGCGGAATGTGACGAGGCCTATGTTGGGGCATTTCGCGGGTGCGGGCGTGAGTCCAAAGAGGTGGGTTGTTGAGTTCAAGGTTAAGGATGAGGAGGGATTGGGCGTCAGTGTTGGCGAGATGGTGGGTGCGGGGTGGTTTACAAAGGGGCAGTGGGTGGATGTTAAGGCGATAAGTAGGGGCATGGGATTCGCTGGTGTAAGTTTTGGATCTCTATCTGTTCATGAGGACGGGTGATGCTAGTTGGGATGGAATGCTAACGGGTAATTTGTGCAGGGCATGAAACGACACGGCTTCGGTGGTCAACCAGCTTCTCACGGTCAATCGCTCATGCATCGTGGTATGGGTTCTGCGGGAGGTTCCCAGGGTTCAGGTTCGCGCGTGTTGCCTGGAAAGCGCATGGCGGGTAACATGGGAAACGAGAGTGTGACGGTCAAGAACTTGAGGGTGTTGCAGGTTGACGAGCCGAATGGTATCGTGGTTGTTCAAGGTATGTTGCGAAGTAAGATTTTGTGTGAATTGATACTAATTGGGTATTTGCAGGTTGTGTTCCTGGACCGAAGAACCAGATCATCCGTGTTCAGGATGCGAGGGGCAAGCCATGGCCGAAGGGACCCATGTCGACGGCTGAGCTTAAGCCAGAGCAAGTCTTGGCCGAGGCGGGTGTACCTGATGCTACGGAGGCAACGACAGTCAGCGCTTAGAGACATAGACTCGAGACGAGAGCGGAGGCATTGTATCATATGATAGGTTGAGGTGCTTTGACTTGGATGTTGAGCAGCATGTACTTGGCGAAGCAGCACGAGTGTACAAATATGTATACGTTATGTTTGCGATGGATGAAGCCTTACTACGATGGTAGTGGTGTCATTCCAGCAATCAGGCGAATGAAATAGGAAAGAACCATCATATTACCAAGTCATTACACATTTACATCATTTCGTCAAGCTTCATCTCATCATCTTCATGCGCACCCTTCCCATCGTTATCACCACATCTTCCCATATGCCCTCCCACCAGCACCTGCTCTCTCAACACCAGCAACCCTAGCACCCCAAGGATCCTTCTCACAAACATCACTCCGCCCATCATCGCTAGAAGCATAGTCACTCCCCTCCGCCACGCCATTCCCACCCTCACTAATCCGCTCATCATCCTCGCTATCACTAGGAAGATAGTCGCTCCCCTCCGCTACACCATTATCATCACTGTCACTCCTATACCTCCCAATCCCCCTCCCTTTTCTAACAGGTGTACTACGAACAGGAGATGACATATAAGGACTCCTGTTTCTTCCTCCCCTTACTGGCGCATAGGGACTTGGACTCCTACTCACGCTTCGGAAGGCGCCGGGCATGGGGGCGTAGTCGCTTCCGCTATCTCGATGCCGTCGGAATAGAGGTGGTGGTGAAGGTACTGCAGGGGGTGGCGAATGGTAGTCTTCTGAGTCTACGGCTGTGGGGACGCGGGAGAGGCGGTCGGAGTGTGAGGAGCTGGGTCGAGATGCTATGTCTGACAATGCGGCTGTGTGGGCGCCAGGTCTATGGTCGGAGTACGTTGCATGGTCGTCATCGCTTGAGTATGTTGAACCGCGTCGGTGACGGGAGTGGTCTACATGTCTTGGAGGAGGAGGAGGAGCTGAGAAGCTGCTGGCCTGATGGAAGGAGCTGCCCGGGCGGTGTAGACTGGGCCGGACAGATCGGGGATCTGGATTCCTTGTACGAGGCTCACGATGGTTGCGGCGGCTATCCTCTTCGAATCGGTGGTAAGACTCTTTTCCATTCCTCCAACGAGTGCGTTCACTATGGTGTCTTTCTCGGTAATTGTGTGGACTTGGCACGTAGTCATCTTCATCATCTTGCTCAGGGTCTGGGTGTCGCCCGGAGAATCTGTCTTGGCGATTCACTGGGATGCGATTCGCTGGGCTACCATCGCTGTAGGATTCGGTGTCGGACCGATCCGTTGTATGAGTGTGGAGCTGTTGGAAGCGGTCGAGAAATTGCTTTGCTTCGCGGTAGTTCTCGTGTTCCCTAGGGTTAAGGCGGGGCGGTTGGCTGAAGGAATCACTATTGCCCCAGCCTGATTTCACCCTCCGATCTTCGGACTTGGCTTTGGGACGAGGAGCGTAGTCTGAGGGGGGACTATCACTGTAGTTCTCTCGAGGAGGGTGGCGGATCGGTGAGCCATTACCCAGGGAATCGTCCGTGGAACGGTCATCGTAGCGAGACCCACGATTTTTCCAAGCATCTTTCTTTACTTCAGGCGTGGCTATGTAATCTTCGTCAGACTGAGAATCTTGTGCGATGCAGTCTGGATCTGAAGACTGAGCCCGATACTGTGGCCGCGCAGATGACCGCGGTTGATGCCTTGGGCGAGGCTGTGAGAAACCGTACACGTCCCTTGGTTCTCTTGTCTGCGTAGCGTATTCGGATGCCATAGCCCGATTCACATATCGCCTATGATTGGGGGGTAAATCTTCGTAGTATCCACGTCGTGGGGTGTCGTAGTCCGAGCTCGAATCGGCGGGCGACGAGACGTAGTTTTCTGGATGCTGGGTATCCCGGTAACTACGCGGGACTTGGCTACTATATTTCGGTGCTGCGCGGTAGGAGCTGCTCTGCTTCTGACGGCTTCGGCTGCTCTTGTGTGGTTGGTCCCACATGCTGCTGGGAAACGCGTGGAAGCACCACGATCTAGTGATTAGTTGACGTTGAGCTGCGTAATTGGGTTATGCAGTCTCGCAGAGGAGAGGTTCAGGCTGCGAGTCGCTTCATTTCGTTGTCGTGGCTAGCTACTGGAGAGTAGGGAAAGGCGTCATGCAGAACCACGTGGTGGGCGTCTAACCGCAAGTAAAACGCGCTAGTGTCGCAATTGGACCAAGCCTCACCAGTCCGCCATCTTCGATGCTTCAACACCATCACCATCACAACCCGTCCGTGCGATGTTGTCTCCCACCACCCGTTCTATAGCCGGGAAGTAAACTTAAAGATGGAAAGTTTGCGCATCCAGCAACCCGGGCATCTGTGGTGATGGCGCGCTTGCTAACCGTGACAGCTGACAGCGCTAACTGATCGCGTCACAACTGCAACCAACGACATTCGCAATGATGAAGAACGATTCAGGGCAATGCTTGATTAGTCTTGTGTTCTCCTCTTGTTCATCACACTTCATCTCTCGTCAGCCTTGCGCTCTCGGACAAACCTGGTTGCTTAGTTGCAGATTCCACCTATCGGAACAATCACTCCTACAGAATCCTGGGATTTTGCGAAGCTCAGCCTCATGAGCCACAGACCAGGTCTCCTACCCTCCCGCAAGGGGCAGTCCTGTCATCTTATGTCGGATAAGCTTAATCAATATGTTTCCGTCGAGTCTGGCCCGGGCACGGTTTTGTGGAGCTAGTGGCTGCCCTGTTATGTTCATGAAACGACAACAGCGGGACTGCCGGGACTAGACTCGTTGCGAAGCTACTTCCGCAACGCCATTCTGTTTGTAAACGCCCATCAATCAACCTATCCATGGATGCATGAGCACCAAACTACGCACTGTCGACAAGTTCATGACTCTTTGGTGGTGGAAGTATCTTTCCGCCCGCTCTAGGCACCGGTATGCGCGTCCTGGCTTCTAGTAGCGATTCGAATTGTCCGATACCCACTGCCGTCGGTGATGAACGGCGTCAAAGGGTCCAGGTGCATGCTCGGAAGGAACATACCCCCGTAGGTAGAGTGAGTGGGGCGTGCTTCAAACACCAGCCAAGAATCCTACGAGATATAAAGGAACGGGACAGCCACCGGATATCGTATCATCCAGTTCTTAGCATCATTCTCTCATTCTCTCATTCATCACCTGTCATTCTTTTCAGCAAACTGTGTTTGCTATCCATTCTTTATCTTCGACTCGATAACTTTCCACTATGAAGTACCAACTCTTCGCCGCCGTTGTCGCGGCTTTCGCTTCCAGCGTCAACGCTGCTGATGCCGTCAAGGGCGCTGCTGAGGGTTTCGCAAAGGGTAAGCATTTGATGTCGTATTGATCATTGCTCTATACTAACATCGCCCAGGTGTAACTGGTGGTGGCAAGGCCGCACCTGTCTACCCGACCAGCACCGCTCAGCTCATCAGCTACCTCGGCGACGACTCCCCTCGCACCATTGTCCTCACCAAGACCTTCGACTTCACTGGTACCGAGGGCAAGGCTACCTCCTCCGGTTGCCGCCCATGGGGTACCGGCTCCGGCTGCCAGATCGCCATCAACCAGAACGGATGGTGCGACAACTACCAGGCCAGCGCTCCCAAGGTTGGCAGCATCACCTACGACAAGGCCGGTGTACTAGGAATCACCGTCAAGAGCAACAAGTCTATCATTGGCCAAGGCACCAAGGGTGTTATGAAGGGCAAGGGTCTCCGCATGACCGGCGGCGTCAAGAACATCATCATCCAGAACATCCGCATTACTGAGATCAACCCTCAATACGTCTGGGGTGGTGATGCCATCACCGTCGACGGCGCCGACATGATCTGGATTGACCACGTCACCACCGACTTGATCGCCCGTCAGCACATTGTCCTCGGTAACACTGCTTCCGGCAAGGTGTCCATCACCAACAACGAGATCAACGGTGCCACCGCCTGGTCTGCTACCTGCGACAGCCACCACTACTGGGGCATGTACTTCACCGGTGCCAACGACATGGTCACCCTCAAGGGCAACTACATCCACCACACCTCCGGCCGCTCGCCCAAGGTTGCTGGTAACACCCTCCTCCACGCCGTCAACAACTACTTCTACGCCAACTCCCAGCACGCTTTCGAGGCCGACTCTGGCGCCAAGATCATCGCTGAGGGCAACGTCTTCCAGAATGTCAAGGAGGCTGCTCAGTCTGGCCTTCCCGGCAAGGTCTTCGCTGTCGGCAACAACGGCGCTGCCTGCAAGTCTGCCATGGGCCGCAACTGCGAGCCCAACGTTTACGGCAGCTCTGGTGCTCTTTCTGGCTCTGACACCAGCATCCTTGCTGGCATGAAGGGCAAGAACATTGCCGCTGCCGGCACCGCTGCCAGCGCTAAGAACGTCCAGCAGTCCGCTGGTTACGGAAAGATCTAAGCGATTCTGATAGAGTCAGCTGTTGCTTAGGGGAGTGTGGATTCATCTGTTCTTGTAAATATCTTCTATTACTTCGTATATATCCTTTTGAATTGGAGATTTGTTTTCTCTCCAACGTTGAATTTGTCTTTGCGTGCCTTCTTTGTGACATTCGCGTTGGTCCGTGTTGTGTGACTGGAAACCTTTCTGCGACGTTGCGCTGTTAAGCGTTTGTTCCATGCGCAGGTGAAGGTCAAAGTGAAGACCAAATTGATGTTCGCAATTGGCGTGAAATGGCATTGTGAGGCGGGTCAGCTGTGGCTATCAATGTCTTGACGCGACTACTTTGCGAGCAAGCTTTGCTTCCTTCACCACACAACAGCTCTACTCGAGACCCATAATTATATAACAGGAACCTAGTAACACCGGCCTGATATCATGTCGTTGACGGGCCATCGTACCCCGTCTGTCCCGCTTCTGCGCAACGGCGAAGAGTGCAACATCATGTAAGATATGCCGCAAACATACCTATCCAACTGCTAACACTACAGAAGTGCTAGACGCAACCAGTTGATGTCCCCGCTCTTGAAGCTCGCAGTAGAGCTTCGAGTCAAGATCTACGAGTACACATTCACCGATTCCACCGTCCACATCTCGCTATACGAACCCACTGGCACTCCTCGGCGACCCCCACCTAAATCTGCAGCTCTACTCTACGTGTCACGTCAGATCAAGTATGAAGCCTTTTCCGTCTTCATCAGTACTTGTACCTTCGATATCACCTCTTGTTGGTTCTGGGATAGGCTTGTAAAGATTGTGGGAGCTCACAACCTCAAGCTCATGACCTCGCTGTTGGCCATGCCAGGTTGTATGCTCAGTCTCATAGAGCACATAGACAAAGCTGATTGGGAGTTGCTCCAATCGCTACGGCATGTGCGTGTGCTTGTTGACCCGCAATATGAAAAGAGTTCGCAGATCTTACTCCGGGGAATACGTTGTCATTTTTCGAGGGAGATGCCGTGTGTCACTATTCAGGTGGTCGAATCAAGTGCGAATTGACATCGTTGTGAAGAACGCACGTCTTCGAAATCCGGCTCGTGAAAGAGGGTTGAGATGAAAGAGCATATTCGAGGGTGGAAGTAATCGGTTCGTCAAGGAGCCTAGACCGAGATTTTGTGGTTGCTTGGTCATAGTCTTGCTAGCGGAGGGAAGCCGGAGTGGTAAAGGGTGGCTGTGTTATGTGTCAAGTCCGGCGAGATTGATTATTCGGGGCAAGTGTATTCCAGGAGCCGTGGGTCGACGATACCCCAATGTATGCGATCAATGTCATGTCCACGGAAGTGTGAGACACCTGTCACTCAATACGCATTGTATGGAAATGATATTACGATGCAAGTGCAAAAGATGGAGTTGGCTCGCGGATGTAGCGCCGCCTAGACCATGAAGCACGTGCACTCACTGCGTCATCAACTATGCAAATATCTCGAGGCTGGTCGTGCCAACCCCCCAACCCCAGTTTCCCCGCTGCGTACCTGCATTTAACGTTGAGCCAAAAGTGGTGATGTATGTGCGCAATGGGCCATGGTGTCGGATAGGCCGGCAAATCAGCAAGTACGTGAGTCTTGGCAATACCATCCACGGAACTCGGCTCGCTCCCTCACGGGGCTATGATGACGTTGTTCAACTCCAACTAGAGCTGCGTCCATGGGAACATTGCCAATCATAGTCGGATCTTCTTTACGCCCAGCCAGGCGACCAGCGGCGCGGACATGGAGCGCGTCTTTTCAGTTGTCAGAGGTTTCGGAGTCACTGCCGATTATGCGGTGAGTCCCGTGGCGCGAGTGGCTGGGACGCTATACAGACACGGCAGATACATCAGGCACTCTTCACGGCGCAGGCGGCGAGGGCCTCTGAAAGGCAATCGTGCGACAGGAAGGCTCTCATAATATCGAGTCGTTCTAAGTATTGCTATTGTCACGTCGATCAAGCATAGCGCAGCCTAATACTGTCTGACATGGCTGTGCCAAAGGCGGGTCATGATGAGCGCCGAGCCCCGGACAAGCTTTTAGACATCCGCGCTGGTAGTTGGAACGGCGCAGCAGGGAACGGACGAGCGTCGCGCCTTATTTTAGGTAGGGCCACGCCCATGTCTTTACGGGCTGCCATTCCGCTTTCTGGAATCCGGCGATCACTTTCAGCGTCCTTCCCCGGTGTAGGACCGACTCTCAAACGACAACATGCTACGATATGACAATATCCTCAAATTCGCCCTCGTTCCGTCGATTATCTTTCTCCTTCTCTCGGTAGTCTCGGTGGCGTTGACAACGCATTACTGGATCCTTACAGACTGGGTTATTCCTCGAGGTCTCAAAGTAGTAACAAGCGAGTTCAATGACCGGCTGCAACAATATGTCGTCGATGACACGATTGTCTACTTCAGAGAGTCGCCGACAGATGCGACCATTGTCTCCGGATGTTTGAACCTTACGGCAGCCGTGGTGGCTCTTATTGCTTGGAGTACTCTGCGCAAACCAGACATGGACTCGCAATACAATAGCGTATGTATGAACGATCTCAACCCGAAGCTCTCACATTAATGTCCAGTAGAGCACACGCCGCTTCTGGATGCTCAGCATTGTTGTCACCACTATTGCTGGTTCTGCCACGGCTATCGCAGCTGTCGTGCTTCACTACACCGAGCGAGGCGACGATAAGTGGGGCTGCACTTCCGAAAGGCTCATGATGAGTGGTCAGATGAACACCAACGTGTACTGCACGCGCGAGATGGCAACCTGCAATTACCAACCGGGCTTTATCCCGAGGGGAGACCGTGAAAATGCCAGCGTAGCATGTGCCGAGGCGGTCAGTCACAAATAACTACGTTGCGACACGACTCACTAATAGCATCACAGGTTACCGTCAAGTGGTTGCAGATCGTAATGACCGTTAACGCGCTGATATTGCTGGTGATGTTCTCTCTGCAAGCATTCCTCCGAAGAAAGTCACGACAAGCACGACTGAACGAACCAGTACCGGAGGAAAAGATGGAGGAAAGCAGCTAACATCCTATTACCCGTTCGCCACTTACGATATGATTACGAGACTTCATGACACGTTCTTTTACTATTCATTCTCACTCAAGCGTTGCATCATTGGAGTTTTGGCTACGGCCTGGGAACATTCTTTTGTAGCGGACAACAGCATCTAGGACGGGAGAGGCGGCTACATGACGTCAGCGTCTCGCGCAGTCTCCTGTCAGAATGGCCGTTGAGATATACATACGCTTATACACTGTGGGTTCCGTATATCATAATATACCCTGGTAATACACAGACGCTTATACGATTTGGTTTATGCATATCAAAAATGTACCCTGGAGGTATACGCTGCGCTAGAAATGTTTCTGTAAGAGATGGCAAGGCACTGTATCCCTTCAGGGTGAACTTTGGTGTGACGTTCGCTGCAAGGGGCGCGGCGCTTGTAAGCTACACGTGGGCCGGATGAAAGGTGAAACAAATAGGTGAGGTGAGCGATGAAGAGGGTGAGGACAGTGTCGCGTCGTGCCTTCCTCTTAGGCATGAAGCACGTGGCTGCTTACGTACTCACTGCTCCTTCCCCAGCAACACCGTTTGTTTGGACGCAGAGCGCGACTTAAGTAGAGTTTTTCTTCTGACTCTTCTTCACCACAGCCGAACCTCTCGTCATGGCCCCCCATCCCCTCTTCCCCAAACTCGAGGCGGCCGTCCTCGTGGACGGTCGCCCCGTCAAAGAACATGCTGACCGAGAAGATGCTAATTCCGAGTCCAAGGTAGTCTACATCGAGGCTGAAGCGGGCGAGCAGTTTGGCGTCCGATTCTTCATCCCCGGCTACGTCTTCGACCGCCACTCCATCAAGGTCATTGTCAACATCGACGGTGTTGACATGCGCAAGTTTATCTTCGAGAGGCACAAGTACAACCTCTACGGCATCACAAGACAGGTCAACGACAGCAGCGCGCTCATCGGCCACAAGTACCTCGGCCAGCGCTTCCGCTTCGCTGATCTCAACACCCGTAAGTCTAGCCAATGAGCATTGGTACCATGCCGCTAACAAATCCAGATGATGACAACTACGAGATTGACCACGCGCTTTGGAAGCAGCTGAAATGGACTGGCAACATCTCAATTACCTTTCACCGGGTCACTAACGTACGCTTCGCCCACGCGTGGAAGGACGTGCCATCCATGCGAGAGTACGACGAGGTCCCTGAGAAGGCATTGAAAGGCTCGTCCGTCTCGCACAAGACAACGTATGTATAGCATAACCTCCTCCCTGCAAAGCGCTAACAGTCCTGGAAGCCTCGACCCGCTGCACCGCATTGCACCCGTTACATTCATGGAAGCAGACTACGTCGACAGCCCTTCCCGTCCTCTTGCTGAGATCGAGTTCCGATACCGGTCCAAGGAAGCTCTCAAGTACCTGTCCATAATCCCCCGCACACCTAGCCCAGAGCCCTTCAAGGAAGATGTATCGGAGGAGAAGGTGCAGAAGATCTACGTAAGTCTTCTTTATTACGTCTCGTCAAGACGCAAGCTTACAGAACACCGCAGCTCAAGCACGAGGAGACCCAGTCTCGTAAGCGCGACCACCCCGATGACGACCATGACTACGAAGACGTGGAGATGGTAGAGGAGCGACCCGCGAAGCGACGCTGCTTCCCCACCAGCACCGACGAAGTTATCTCGCTCGACTGAGGACACTTCAAAGGCACTTCATGGCATCGTACAGCAGGCAGCGCGCATGGAATGCTGAATACGGAGCATGTACTGGATATGAAGTTTTCACTGGAACAGTACCGTGAACTACAAGCAGGCTCATCTACCGCCCGGGTTCATGTTCACTAGCATAGCATCGGATACTGAGAGTCGTATCTTGAGTTGATTCTTTAATTTACCATCATTGGTGTTCTCCTTGGTGTCGTTGCATGTCCCCAATCTAACTGTGCCATCCTTCTACAGTCTCGATGCCTCTTCTCTAAGAGCCAGAGCTCAGGGCGCCGCAGCACCCCCAGCCCCAGCCTCCACATCTACATACGGCACCAGCGTCTCCCTAACATTCGTCAACCGCTCTAGCACACGCCCCACTCTAACCACATCCTCATCCTTCGTCGCTCGCCCAAAGATATACGCCGAAAACGGTATCCCAGGCGCCACATTAACCAACCCATTCCTCGCGTCCTCCTCCACAGGCGTATCTCGCGGAAAAACACCCATAGACACACTCATAACCGGACTTCCCGCTTTCGCAGCAAAGCTCTGCATGGTAACACTCAACGTAGGCACGAGCATGACATCGCAACACTTCCTACACAACGCAGCGTCGATACCGCCTTCGCCCGTGTAATACTCGTCTCTCGCCAGCATGTTCTCGTAAAGCAGATTGTTCGGATCAGAAGCCTGCGCCCTCTCCAAACCCTCAACGTTCCGCTGCGGGTACTGCTCGGCCGGGTGTCCTTTTGTGAACGAGATGAGGTCTTCGAGGTTACGCACGTTATGCGGGTTTGTGGCGAGGGAGGAGAGGTAGTCGTTTATCGCAATCTTCATATCGGTAGTCAAAACGATGTCTTTGGCTTCTTGCGGAAGGGCGTCCCAGCTTTTAGCCCCCGTGACTTGGACGTTGCGGACGATGGTTGCGCCGGCGCTTTCTAACAGTTTGAGCGTTCTTTCGAATGCTGTCTTCTTACAGGCAGGTAAGTTTTGCATGTCGGACAGGGAGCTAGGGATGCCGATTCGGACGCCATGGAGGTGGGGAATTGAATTTGCGGTGCTGAGATCTTGCACTATCTTCTGTTTCGTTTGGGCGGGGAGGTGGTCGCTGTGTTGAACCATACCGATGAGGAGGAGCGCAGCGTCCGAGACTGTTCGCGTGAGCACACCAACGGTATCTAATCTCTTAGACGCATGAATGAGACCTTCGGAGGAGAGCAAATTACGCGTCGGCTTGAAACCTACGATACCGGATTTCTCTGCCGGAGAGACAATGGAGTAGCACGTCTCCGTTCCCAGCGCTGCGAAACACATCCCCAGTGCAACAGCCACCGCACAGCCGCCTGAACTCCCACTCGCTTTCATACCAGGATAGTAGATCCCCGTTGTCTGACCTCCCCTTCCACTCCAGCCTGAACACCCGCTCGTGGAGCGGAATCCAGCCCATTCGGCCATGTTTCCTTTGCCCAAGATTACCATTCCGGCTTTTCGCACTGCGCTTACCACGTCGGCTTCGTGCGAGGGTTTAGCCCCGACTAATGCCATGCTGCCGCATGTTGTGGATGTGGCGTCGAGAGTGGGTATGTTGTCTTTTAGCAGAATGGGTATGCCGTGGAGGGGTCCTCGTGGGCCTTTAGTGAGTCGCTCGGCATCGAGGTGCTGGGCGAGGGATGTAGCGTCGGGGTTTATCTCTGCTACGGCGTGGAACGTGGGATTTGTTTCACGAATTCTAGTTAGACAGGCTGAAGTTAGGTCGACGGCTGTGAAGAGGCGGTTTTGGTAGCCGGTTTGGATTGTGGGGAGCGTGAGGTGGGCTAGACGTGGGGTGCTTGGTTGTGTGTTGGTGGGTGTGCTGGTAGACCCGCTGGCCAGTATGTCGATGTACGGGGTTGCCATATGTGCGGTTGTTCTAGACCTGCTACTGTATAAAGTCTTTTCGTATCGTTGACGTGGTGGGAACTTTATGTGTTCAGAACATTCGCTGTGCACTCTACTGCTTTCTTACTGGGCCTTGGAGGGCGGTCGTGGCCTCTTTGTCGGATATATACTGTGTAACGCTACAGCGTTATTGAATCTGGCTGGACATTGACACTCATCATTCACGACCAATGCGAATGTTCTGAGTGAAATGAAGACGCCTATATTGATATCTAGACCCGTGAATTTAGCATAGATTGCAGCTTGATCTCGCGAAAACTTCCTAAATGACTGCCATGTCGGCCTCCGCGCTGTCCATTCTCCGGTCTCAGTCCAATACAATGACTTCAGTTTCATCGCTTGGCATCTGTCTGACACGTTCAAGCTTTCTCTTTTTGCGCAGATCAACCGAACGTATCTCGATGAAGTCGTCGTCGCAAGCTATGACTGGACTATCGACGTTGTGGTCGTCGCCTGCCACGGTGGAGGTATCGGAAAGCTCGCGCTTCATGCGTACACGGGTCTCTTCTTGGTCCTAGTTGATGTCAGCATGTAGATTGGTAGGTGGGTAATGGGGATTATCCTACTCTGAAGCGGCGGACGATAGACTCTAGTTGTTCCCTGTTCAACTGTCCGAGCACCATATCATCGCTGTCGAGAACGTCGACTGGATCAGGCGTACGTTCGATTATGTGAAGGTCTTTGAGCGCAGCTATAATGTCGAGAGTTAGTGTTTGTTGATGTTGACCTGGATGTGCGAAGCTTACCGAGTGAGCGATAGTAGAAGTGAAATGTCGCAAACGGTTCTCCGCCATCAGCATAGTCCGCATCGTAGTACTGGATCTCTTCCGTGGGCTCTGTATCTCCGAGACTGCGACTAAGTTAGCTCGTAGTGACCGCCGTGTGGGGTTATACATACATTGCCTGATGCGACAGCGACTCGCCCTTGATAGCCTTCTCGTTGACCGTATCCAGCTTCTCCAACTCCTTCTGTACGAAGACCATCTTCGGATTGCGTCTCGCGTTGTCGAGGAAGTAAAACTCGCAAGTTATGATGCCGATAGGCTGTAGTTTGCTCTGCATGTCTTCAGGGATGCGCCCCTCGCTGCACTCTCCTGCGTTTCTCTTAGCATATTCTCACTTTGTAGGAGGCGAAGACGACTTACTGATATCAAGCGGCGAAAAGCGATAGTGCTGTGTGAACCAGTCCTTACCATCGTTCGATATCGGTCCAGAGCTGACGTGGCCGTTTGCGTCGTACAGCTCGTCGGGGCGAATAAGCGGCTCATCAACATCCTTGCCATCGATGGTGACAATCATAGACACAGGGCGGTCGACGGGGAATGGCGCCTTGAAAGAGTAGTGAATTTCGAATGTTGAGTCTGACTTTGCTTCGATGTAGCTTTCGGAGATAGCTTCCGATACGGTGGTGTGGCGGTCGGTGTACTCGCGAAGCGGGTTGCCATCAGCTTGGACATGAACTTCGAGCCCGGGGGCCTCATCGACGACTGCCATTGCGGAAGGTGCGACGGTATCGGAATATGAGAGAAGCAATGATGGTAAGAGGATGCCGCGATAGGTCTACGATGCGTAGAATATGTTGAAGGTGTGTTCTAGTAAGAAGACTTCACCTCGACTGAAGATGTCGGTGCTGGAGCGCAGAAGCCGAGGTGAAGGCGAGTATTGGCAGGTGAGAGACGATAGCTCAAAAGTTCTCGGCTCCGACGCGTCACGAAAATCGCGCGGTCCAGTACGAGAGGTGAACGTAGCTGCCGCGTTGGTGGCTCCTTCCCTCCAAGTAACCTCAGATTTGGCGCAGATTTTAGCGCCCCAGACGAGGAAAGGGAGTAGAACGAAAAAGCAGTATGTTAAAATACGCATGAATAGATGAATACAAAATGGAAAATCGTCCGATAATGCTACCAGCATTGCCACGAACGATGACGATCAAGCGATCGTGCCCAGGTGTTTACGCCAGAAGCACGTGAGCTTCTCAAACTTGCTGAATGTACCAGTCCTTCGACTTGAATGACGGATGCGCTCAATCATCAAGAGCCACGACCTCATCATCAGGACCAGGAGCGCGACGTATCTTCTTCACGATCGGATGTGCCGGCTGGCTACCAATCCACTCGACCTCATCATCAACTAGGGTATCCTCACTGCCTCCTCGCTCTTCCTCGCGTTCACGCTTGATAACGATTGCTTTCTGGTTCTTCTCCTGTTTGGTGGTCAGTGAAAGACTCATGAATCGCATGCCTCCAACCTGTGATGCGACTTACGCGCATGCTTCTAACCACAGCTCTCAACTCTTCCTCGGTCATATCTTCTGGGTCCCTGTCTTCAACCTCTGATTCTGGCTCCGGCGATGGGCTTGGAGTACGCGGGATGACGCCGATGGACTTGAGCGCATCTGAAGGACTATCAGCTATCATCACGAATTAACTATGTATGCGTGCGACTAACCTGTCGACCTATAGTAGAAGATGAACGTTGCGAAAGGCTCGTTTTCAGTCGTCTTGACCTCGTTGTAAGTGATGGTATCACGTTGCTCGGGTGCTGTGAAACTGGCGACCATGTCAGCGATCATCCTCCCTCGTAATGCGTGGGAAAGCGCATACCTAGTTTGATGAGATAGCTGATCGCCCTGCATCGCAGCCGCCTTGTGTAATGCTTTCTCGCTGAGAACATCAAACTTGTTACTAGCAAGCTGAGGCACTTCTGCGGGTTTCACTGCTTCCAGATGCTCGATGAAGTAGAAGTAAAGCACAATGCGGCCAATGGGTGACAGACGATCCGCGAGGTCCTTGGTCATGGGAATGTTGGTCTCATCTAAGCTTCGTCAGCGACTGTTATGATGAATATTGAGACAGAAGAACTCACCGGTCTTCAGCTCAGCGAAGTGGAAGCCCTGAGTAAAGCTGTGTCCGCCAGTCGACGAAGTGGATCGTGAACAAAGATACCCCTCGCACTCTTCCTTGCCACCCCACTCGACGAAGGGAGCTTGCACGTAGTCACCGTCTAGCAACACATCCATTTGCACTGCCGAGGGCGGGGCGAAAGGAGGACGAAACAAATAGCGGATGGAGAAGTTGGCAGCTGATGGCGCTTCAATGTACCTTGATGTAGAGGTCGCAACCTCATCATCTTCGATGATCCCATGTTGGTGTTCCGGTAGTGCTGCCGCGTCAACCTCGATAGTGACTTCAAGACCTGGGATACCCGTTGCGATGGCCATTGCGATGGAATGAAGAGAGAAGAGAAGAAGCTGCGAGCGACTGAGTAGACAATGTCGCTAGGGAACGATTAGAGGGACCAACCACAAGGATCGTGCTCACCTGAGGCTCACAGTTGCTCAGGTGAGAGAGTGGACCAATCTACAAGCCCACAAAACAACTGAGAAAGACGCTGGAATGGGAAAATTCGAACTGAGCCTTGCTTGTACTCAAGGTGACTACGATAAGACCACTCCGCAGTGTTTTGCGCTAGAGTCAATCCGTTACGCCGTATTCATACGCCAGCAAATAGAACAGCGCCGCAGAAAGCTAGAGAGCCTTCGAAAAGAACTGATAGAAAAGCCAAAACTCTGCCAGGACCATGGTATAGGCACCGATCCATCCCTATGTCAGATCGATAATCTCGGCACCATTCTCATCGAGAGTAACGGGGAGCCGTCTTCGCTTGGCGGATAAGAAAGTTACGTCGTCATCATCGTTATCCTCGTTGATGATGGTGCTGCTTCGTTCCCGTTTGACACCCTCTCGCTTGATGACTGGAGCGGCGTCCCTCTGCTCACGCTGAAGGCGAAGGAGCTCGCGAGATTCTTCTAAGGTAAGGGTGTTGATGTCGCGTTCTTCGAGCGGTACCGGGCTCGGGGTTCGTGGGATGATCAGGAGGGATTTGAGAGCAGCTAAATGAAACCGGCGTCAGTCAGAATACGACGACCACGAACAGCCCACATACCTCTTGAGCGATACTTGAAGGTGAACTCTGCGAACGGCGTTTCGTCGATCTTCGTGGTTCTACACGTGCTGTACGCCTGACTGACTTCTCGGGCGCCGTAGCTAATCATAGGATAAGTATTTGTGAGTATTGGGAAAGAAGCTCGCTGACCTAGCCTGATGAGATAGCGCGCTACCCTTGAGGGCCTTCTCTGGTACAACACCGAGAGTCTCGTTCTTCTGCGCTTTAGCTTTGGGAGTTGATGATCCGCTAGCTGTCACCCAGTAACAGCGCAAAGATATAACACCCACGCTATGGAGCTTCTTCTTCAGTGAGTCCTCAAATTTGCGTGTATCACCGTCATCTGAAGCAAAAGTCAGCGACCCGGTGACTCAAGAGACAGGGAAAGACGTAACCATCAATTTCGAGCTGCGAGAAACAGAACTTCCTTACAAAGTATCCGCCATCTTCGAATTCCCGCGATCCCTTGAAGACATACGTGCTGTTCCAGCGAATAGAACTGCCAGGGTTGAAGACAGCAGAGTCGGCATACTCGCCATCAATCTCCAACTCAACCAACATGGCGTGACGAATGCTGAACCCAGGAGAGAAGCAGTATTTGACTTCGAAGTTGTCACCAGACGAGGCTTCGATGAATTTAGTGACCTCGTTATCCGAAGTTTGATCATCGTCGTCGACGTGCTCTTCAAGCGGAGCGTTCTTGACGAACACTTCGACTTTGAGTTTAGGAAGCGCTTTGGCGATCGCCATCTTGGAGACGGCCGCGGGCTGAAGACAGAAACGAGCGGGTAGAACAGCAGATGTCGGGTGTGCTGAGACAAGGTCCAGCAGCGTCTGTGGCTGCGAGAGACCCGCAGCGATGAAGGTGAGGATGAGACGTGATGAGCGCGGCGCAGGTGCGGCCTCAGCCCCGGGGTCGTGATTACCGCCGTGGATTCGCGCCGCAGCGCTAGCGCGCGTTGCCACGTGAAAGTGCCAAACAATGCGTTCAGGTGGAAAGAACATCCCAACACACCATAGTCAGCAACATCCAAGCAATGCGAAGATTGCATCAAAGAAACAGTCAGTATATACACAAAAAAGTCTATTCATCTCCATACTCCAGTCCAGTCCAGCTTTCCACCCACCTATATACCATCCATCCATTCCCATCCGCTCTCTCAGTACCGAGCATGGTATCATTCCTCCCTCCCCCAAGTAACAAAGTAAAGAAAAGAGTGCAATCCGTCGCCGCACAGTAACGCCTAAGCCGGGTACATGACTTGTAATAATGACAAAACATTACGCCCCCAAAACAGGCGAGGACAGGAATGCACAAAAGATCAGAGGTTCGGGGTCTTCTTTGTGGTGGATGTCGCAACCGGTACGCCAGTGCAATGATGGAACGGCCCTGCCATATGCTGTTGTACGTGAATAAAGACTGAAAGGAAACGCTATGCAGTCGTTATCATGGGAATATGCCTCCATGCAATGGTATCATTCGCGGGTATGGATTAGGCCGTAATTGTTGGGAGATCGCCATGGTAGTAATGCTGTGATGAATGGGGACTGTAGTGAGGCGAAATGGTGATGACGGTCGATGGTCAAAGGGCGTTGCTGTCGATCTACCAAGCGCCTATGCTTGCGGGAGAGCCAGTTCCGTAGTTTCCGCTCAGCAGCTGCTGGCGGATGGACATGGCATCGTTGGACCCGCCGGTGGCGGGATTGGGTGTCTCTGCGCCCATCCAGCCGAGTCCTCCGCGTAGCTCGTTGACTGCCTCCTGCATCTTTCCGCCCGAGATCTCATTGTGTTTCGCAATCTTCTCGTCCCATCCGCCGTATTGGAGCTGTATTCCGCCCGCCTTCTTTGCTGCCTCCTGGATGACCATCGCCCACGCCTTGGCCATCTCCTCGTATGCCTCTTGCTTGTGACGGTTGTGTTGGTACGTATCCCAGTTGGGTAGTCGATGGATGATCTCGGTGGCACCATCGAGGAAGGCGAGCGATGTGGCGGGCTGGTGTTCGTGCGGCGGGAGGAAGTGAGGTGTGAAGTCTTTGAGGGAGTCGAGCAGTTCATCAAGTTGTTGCCGCACCCTATTGTATGCATAGTCTGATGACGCACGGCCGCCAAAGGGGAAGGCTGCCTGGAACGCCGCCTCGTACTTTGACAGGACCTCCAACGTTGACTGTATGCTTGGCCGGGGCGCGGTTGTGACGACTTCGTTGCCGATGTCCGGGTGGCGCTGGCAGATGGACTGCAGCAGGTTGCGCATCTCGTCGGGGCTGAGCGTCTCGAGGAGGCGAGGGAGCGGGAGCGGGCGGCCGGAGATGTTGGTTCGCATGCGCTTCATGCCTCGCGGCGCTGGTCGTGGGAGTACGGCGGAAGATGTGGTTGGCGATGCACTCATGCGGTCGTCGTCACCGCCGCTGCCATCGTCCTCGGCTTTCCGCTTGCGGCCAGTCATCGCGGCGGAAGGGGGGAAGACTGCGTGAGGGTGAAAGTTAGTGGCTGACATGGAGTTGAGGTGTTGAGAGCAGCGGGTAGACGTACGGTTGCGGGAGGGAGAGCAGCGGTTGTTGTTCAAGAGATGAGGGGGCGTGAATGTCTGCTGGTACTGCACACTCATGACGAGGAAAGGGCCCGCAAACGCAGTGATTTCGCACGCCTGCTTTGTTGGGAGCCGGATAGCGATGTCTGGGTGGTGATGCAATGGGCGGGCTCTCGTTGCGTGGGCCGTGGGCGGTGTCGGGTGTTGTGTTGTTGCTGTGGTGGAGACAGCAGAGCCATACGAAGGCCCAAGAATATGCTAACAACCGGCAAGTCCGTGCACGCAACCAATCACGTCACATGTCACACATGTCAACCACGTTAATTGTCCTTTCATCTGGGGTTGAGGTTGAATTCTCTCGCCAGTTTTGCTTTGTCCTAAAAGTCGCCCCTTCATTGCACTAACTTCGGGAGGTCCCTTGTCAAAAAGAAAACCTCAGCGGCTAAAGCGGCACTAGCCCTAAACAATCCCATGGTATCTCCCTATAACTCCGTACGCGATACAAATACAAGCCACCTCAAGCAGAGCCTTCACCTACTACTCGCGGAGCTTGATGAACTCGGTGTACGAGTCTGCACGGGCTCGATGGCTAGGCTATCGCTCCGCGGCGCCAGGCCTTCAGGCCAACTGCGCCTCTCGCGATGTTCAACCGAAGGTAATCTCTCATCCTCTTTATTTACACTCAGCCTCTTCTTGACTTTACTCCACCTTCTGAGCTTTTCGCTCATCGACCCTCGCCGCCTACCCTCGGCTTCTGATTCTCTCCTGGTCTTTTCGTCGCGTACGGGATCAGATAACTGCCGAGACGCGGCAAGTGAGTTGAGGTATATGGGATACAATGCGCCAGCAGCGTAAGCCGCTGCAATGACGCAGAAAGCGTATTGTGCGTTTTTGATCTTAAGCGCGGCATACATTATCGGTGGGATAACGGCCCCTCCACCGATAGCTGCCGTCAGAAGTACGGAAGCGTCTTTGGTGTGCTTGCCCATACCCCGTATCCCTTGTGCAAAAATCTGCGGGAAAAGCGGGCCTTCAAAGAACATGACGATGACAATGATGGCTGCACCGCCACTGCCAGAAGCATGCATTGCTGCGGCAGCGGTTGCAATTGCGCCTAGGTAGAAAACCAGAAGACTAAAGCGTGGCTTTACCCAAATGTCGATGAAGGCTGCCAGGAACCGAGACACCGCGAAAGCAGTGTGTCCATAGGCTTGCTGTGACACATAATCCACGGAGGGCGCGACGCGGTTGAGGTACTCCTTGTACGAAGTGGAAGTGGATTCTTGGCCGCCAACGTAACAGAATTGAGACAAGACCGCCATACTCAGACCAATCCAAAGAACTTTGACTGGCTTGGACCCAATCTTGATGGTGGCCTCGCGGGCAAATGGCACAGTGCGTTGACTGGCTAGTTCTAGCTCTTCGTCGGTAGCTTCAGGAAGCGGTACGTAGAAGTATATGATTGCAAGAGCGATGTTGAAGAGAGATATGCCGAGATATGTCCACTGCACATCAATGAGGCTGGCAGCGTTGGCGGGGAAGAGTACTTTCTTCGCCAAAAGTGGGGAAACAATGGTGCCGACAGCCTGAACAGCCTGTGAGAGGTTCAATCGCACTTCCGCATACTCAGGCGGTCCGCATAGTGCTATGAATGGGTTTGCGCCGAGTTCCAATGTCGATAGTCCCGCACCGGTAATGAAGTTTGAGATCAGGAACGCTGGGAAGGAATTGAGCACAGCTGAAGGCCAGAAGACGAGGGTTCCGCAAGCATAGACTGAAAGACCGACCATGTAGCATGCCTTGAACCCCCAGGCCTTGAAGACGATCCGTCCAAAAGTCAAAGGTCCCACAATGTAGCCAACATAATAGGCACTGTGTTGTCCGACTGTCTCCCACTCGCTCGTGCGAGCTACTTCTTGAAAGCGCGAATTGAGTACGTCCAGGAAACCATAGGCAAACCCCCAGATGAAGAACAGTATGGTTACCATGATCACGGGATATACACTTTCTCGGTTGCTCCGGAGGGTGATATTCTTTTTCTGCCCAGTGTTGACGAAGTCGAAAAATGTTGGTGGGCGCTGGGTGCGGGTGGTGGTGGCGTAGGTAACAGTGGTGTTGGACGGTCTCAGTTGAGGCAATTCGGTCATGTCAGGCGTAGTTAAAAAGTCCATCATACCCATCGGCTCATCACCACCGCTTCTACGAGCGAGAGGAGGTTTGCTGAGTGGGGAAGCGGGAGGCGTTAAGGGGTCTGAGCGCCGCCGAGAATCGAGTATGTCGGGATGAAGTACAGCTTCGTCGCTTGTATGGGTAGTGTTGTCGCGCATAGTATGGTCGATGACCCAGCTAGGTAGGAATCTCTTGACTAGGGGTTTCAGGGCGGGAACGCATCCACACATGATACCCAAATTGATCTCAATGGTGCTCCACATAAATGATAGAGATGAGAACCACGCAAAATCGCCAGTGTTCCTCTGTTCGTTGCCAGATTCGGAAGACTGCCGTTGTGCGGCTTCAAGAGTATCGCGCTGAGCATCTTGCAGGTATGCGATACGAATGACATCGACGACTGCGACAAAGATACCGAAACCAAAGGTAATAACGAGGATCACCTTCTGTTTCCTCGGCAGCCGCATACTAGTGAGTATTGGCATCGGCAGGAATAATATGGCTATGTCGGTGATGATGTTGAGCGGTGCCGAGGAAAGGTATATCGTGACGATGTTGGTGCAGTGAGCAGTGTCGGGAACGGGAGAAGCCCAAGCGGCGCCAACAGGACGACACTGACATAGATTCAGGATTGTCAGAGCGAGCCCGCCGACATTGACGACGACAAGGGTGGCAATGGTGGCCCATCGGAATACTTTGTGTGTCTTGGACAGCGTGAGGTAGAAGAGGAGGATCGAGGTTTTGGTGGCCATCAAAGCTGGATTCTGTGGGGATTTAGTGCTGGCGGCTTATGTATACAAAGTCCTGTACGTACGTAGAGTACCGAGAAGACAAAGGAGGACTTCTTCATGGGCTCTTGCCATTGCGCGGGTATGTTCTCTTGCTTCCGCCCCAGGCCTTTGGTAGTGCCGTAGCATATCGAGAAGGATGCGCCAAACGCGAGGACCCAGGCCAGGATCATTGTGTAGTCGTCCCATCCCGGCTTTCTAACCACCAGAAATCGGGAGATGAGACGAAAGCCAACGAAAACGGAGCATATGGCAAGCGTCGCAG